GGCCTTCTGATCTCGTTTATTAATGTTTCACACGTCTAATATTACGGCTTCTGATCTCGTTTATTAATGTTTCACACGTCTAATATTACGGCCTTCTGATCTCGTTTATTAATGTTTCACACGTCTAATATTACGGCCTTCAGATCTCGTTTATTAATGTTTCACACGTCTAATATTACGGCCTTCTGATCTCGTTTATTAATGTTTCCACACGTCTAATATTACGGCTTTCAGATCTCGTTTATTAATGTTTCACACGTCTAATATTACGGCTTCTGATCTCGTTTATTAATGTTTCACACGTCTAATATTACGGCTTTCTGATCTCGTTTATTAATGTTTCACACGTCTAATATTACGGCCTTCAGATCTCGTTTATTAATGTTTCACACGTCTAATATTACGGCCTTCTGATCTCGTTTATTAATGTTTCACACGTCTAATATTACGGCCTTCTGATCTCGTTTATTAATGTTTCACACGTCTAATATTACGGCTTCAGATCTCTTTATTAATGTTTCACACGTCTAATATTACGGCCTTCTGATCTCGTTTATTAATGTTTCACACGTCTAATATTACGGCCTTCTGATCTCGTTTATTAATGTTTCACACGTCTAATATTACGGCTTCTGATCTCGTTTATTAATGTTTCACACGTCTAATATTACGGCCTTCTGATCTCGTTTATTAATGTTTCACACGTCTAATATTACGGCCTTCAGATCTCGTTTATTAATGTTTCACACGTCTAATATTACGGCCTTTCTGATCTCGTTTATTAATGTTTCACACGTCTAATATTACGGCTTTCTGATCTCGTTTATTAATGTTTCACACGTCTAATATTACGGCTTTCTGATCTCGTTTATTAATGTTTCACACGTCTAATATTACGGCCTTCTGATCTCGTTTATTAATGTTTCACACGTCTAATATTACGGCCTTCTGATCTCGTTTATTAATGTTTCACACGTCTAATATTACGGCCTTCTGATCTCGTTTATTAATGTTTCACACGTCTAATATTACGGCTTCAGATCTCGTTTATTAATGTTTCACACGTCTAATATTACGGCTTTCTGATCTCGTTTATTAATGTTTCACACGTCTAATATTACGGCCTTCTGATCTCGTTTATTAATGTTTCACACGTCTAATATTACGGCTTCAGATCTCGTTTATTAATGTTTCACACGTCTAATATTACGGCTTTCTGATCTCGTTTATTAATGTTTCACACGTCTAATATTACGGCTTTCTGATCTCGTTTATTAATGTTTCACACGTCTAATATTACGGCTTTCAGATCTCGTTTATTAATGTTTCACACGTCTAATATTACGGCTTCTGATCTCGTTTATTAATGTTTCACACGTCTAATATTACGGCTTTCTGATCTCGTTTATTAATGTTTCACACGTCTAATATTACGGCTTTCTGATCTCGTTTATTAATGTTTCACACGTCTAATATTACGGCTTTCTGATCTCGTTTATTAATGTTTCACACGTCTAATATTACGGCTTTCTGATCTCGTTTATTAATGTTTCACACGTCTAATATTACGGCTTCTGATCTCGTTTATTAATGTTTCACACGTCTAATATTACGGCCTTCTGATCTCGTTTATTAATGTTTCACACGTCTAATATTACGGCTTTCTGATCTCGTTTATTAATGTTTCACACGTCTAATATTACGGCCTTTCAGATCTCGTTTATTAATGTTTCACACGTCTAATATTACGGCTTTCTGATCTCGTTTATTAATGTTTTCACACGTCTAATATTACGGCCTTCAGATCTCGTTTATTAATGTTTCACACGTCTAATATTACGGCTTTCTGATCTCGTTTATTAATGTTTCACACGTCTAATATTAGGCCTTCTGATCTCGTTATTAATGTTTCACACGTCTAATATTACGGCCTTCAGATCTCGTTTATTAATGTTTCACACGTCTAATATTACGGCTTTCTGATCTCGTTTATTAATGTTTCACACGTCTAATATTACGGCTTCTGATCTCGTTTATTAATGTTTCACACGTCTAATATTACGGCTTTCTGATCTCGTTTATTAATGTTTCACACGTCTAATATTACGGCCTTCTGATCTCGTTTATTAATGTTTCACACGTCTAATATTACGGCTTTCAGATCTCGTTTATTAATGTTTCACACGTCTAATATTACGGCCTTCTGATCTCGTTTATTAATGTTTCACACGTCTAATATTACGGCTTCAGATCTCGTTTATTAATGTTTCACACGTCTAATATTATGGCCTTCTGATCTCGTTTATTAATGTTTCACACGTCTAATATTACGGCTTTCTGATCTCGTTTATTAATGTTTCACACGTCTAATATTACGGCCTTCTGATCTCGTTTATTAATGTTTCACACGTCTAATATTACGGCTTTCTGATCTCGTTTATTAATGTTTCACACGTCTAATATTACGGCTTTCTGATCTCGTTTATTAATGTTTCACACGTCTAATATTACGGCTTTCAGATCTCGTTTATTAATGTTTCACACGTCTAATATTACGGCTTTCTGATCTCGTTTATTAATGTTTCACACGTCTAATATTACGGCCTTCTGATCTCGTTTATTAATGTTTCACACGTCTAATATTACGGCTTTCAGATCTCGTTTATTAATGTTTCACACGTCTAATATTACGGCCTTCTGATCTCGTTTATTAATGTTTCACACGTCTAATATTACGGCTTTCAGATCTCGTTTATTAATGTTTCACACGTCTAATATTACGGCCTTTCTGATCTCGTTTATTAATGTTTCACACGTCTAATATTACGGCCTTCTGATCTCGTTTATTAATGTTTCACTCGTCTAATATTACGGCTTTCAGATCTCGTTTATTAATGTTTCACTCGTCTAATATTACGGCTTTCAGATCTCGTTTATTAATGTTTCACTCGTCTAATATTACGGCTTTCAGATCTCGTTTATTAATGTTTCACACGTCTAATATTACGGCTTTCAGATCTCGTTTATTAATGTTTCACACGTCTAATATTACGGCTTTCTGATCTCGTTTATTAATGTTTCACTCGTCTAATATTACGGCTTTCTGATCTCGTTTATTAATGTTTCACACGTCTAATATTACGGCTTTCAGATCTCGTTTATTAATGTTTCACTCGTCTAATATTACGGCTTTCAGATCTCGTTTATTAATGTTTCACACGTCTAATATTACGGCTTTCAGATCTCGTTTATTAATGTTTCACACGTCTAATATTACGGCTTTCTGATCTCGTTTATTAATGTTTCACTCGTCTAATATTACGGCTTTCTGATCTCGTTTATTAATGTTTCACACGTCTAATATTATGGCCTTCAGATCTCGTTTATTAATGTTTCACACGTCTAATATTACGGCTTTCTGATCTCGTTTATTAATGTTTCACACTATACCTTCAACTGATTTAAATTTAACGTCTAATATTACGGCTTTCAGATCTCGTTTATTAATGTTTCACACGTCTAATATTACGGCTTTCTGATCTCGTTTATTAATGTTTCACACGTCTAATATTACGGCCTTCAGATCTCGTTTATTAATGTTTCACACGTCTAATATTACGGCTTTCAGATCTCGTTTATTAATGTTTCACACGTCTAATATTACGGCCTTCTGATCTCGTTTATTAATGTTTTCACACGTCTAATATTACGGCCTTCTGATCTCGTTTATTAATGTTTCACACGTCTAATATTACGGCCTTCTGATCTCGTTTATTAATGTTTCACACGTCTAATATTACGGCCTTCAGATCTCGTTTATTAATGTTTCACACGTCTAATATTACGGCTTTCTGATCTCGTTTATTAATGTTTCACACGTCTAATATTACGGCTTTCAGATCTCGTTTATTAATGTTTCACACGTCTAATATTACGGCCTTCAGATCTCGTTTATTAATGTTTCACACGTCTAATATTACGGCCTTCAGATCTCGTTTATTAATGTTTCACACGTCTAATATTACGGCTTTCAGATCTCGTTTATTAATGTTTCACACGTCTAATATTACGGCCTTCTGATCTCGTTTATTAATGTTTCACACGTCTAATATTACGGCCTTCTGATCTCGTTTATTAATGTTTCACACGTCTAATATTACGGCTTTCAGATCTCGTTTATTAATGTTTCACACGTCTAATATTACGGCTTTCAGATCTCGTTTATTAATGTTTCACACGTCTAATATTACGGCTTTCAGATCTCGTTTATTAATGTTTCACACGTCTAATATTACGGCCTTCAGATCTCGTTTATTAATGTTTCACACGTCTAATATTACGGCCTTCTGATCTCGTTTATTAATGTTTCACACGTCTAATATTACGGCTTTCAGATCTCGTTTATTAATGTTTCACTCGTCTAATATTACGGCTTTCTGATCTCGTTTATTAATGTTTCACACGTCTAATATTACGGCCTTCTGATCTCGTTTATTAATGTTTCACACGTCTAATATTACGGCTTTCTGATCTCGTTTATTAATGTTTCACACGTCTAATATTACGGCCTTCTGATCTCGTTTATTAATGTTTCACACGTCTAATATTACGGCTTTCAGATCTCGTTTATTAATGTTTCACACGTCTAATATTACGGCCTTCAGATCTCGTTATTAATGTTTCTCACGTCTAATATTGAGGCTTTCTGATCTCGTTTATTTAATGTTTCAACACGTCTAATATTACGGCCTTCTGATCTCGTTTATTAATGTTTCACACGTCTAATATTACGGCTTTCAGATCTCGTTTATTAATGTTTCACACGTCTAATATTACGGCCTTCAGATCTCGTTTATTAATGTTTCACACGTCTAATATTACGGCTTTCAGATCTCGTTTATTAATGTTTCACACGTCTAATATTACGGCCTTCAGATCTCGTTTATTAATGTTTCTCACGTCTAATATTGAGGCTTTCTGATCTCGTTTATGAATGCATCGGTGTCGGTCTTCATCACTTCTGTGTGTGTTGTAGTGTGAGGGCGCTGCTGTTGGGGAGTTATGATTGACAGTCATAATGACGACCGCATACGTGGGCCATCTCTTCCTCGTGTCCCTCTACATCACAGGTACAGTACACACACACACACACACACACACACACTGAAGAACGAGTTTGACCAACAGCACTTCTGATGCGGATTAGAAGATGAATTGCTCGGTTTCATGTTGTGAATGTTTAGATCTGGTGATTTTGTCACACAGTGTGTTCAGCATTTATAAACATCATGACCTCCTGTAGTGGGAAATCTGCTCGCCTTCAGATCAAAGTTTATATATTGCACATATTTACATATTTGGAGGGGACTTGGAAAATTGTTGCTTGTTATGTTTGTTGAAATGTAAATTTTTTTATTACATTTTTCATAATCTGTCTGTAAACGTTTGTATCTCAGGGGAAACGTCGTCCTTATGTATAAAAGAGACTGTGTTCTATAGGCTTTATACTTTGTGGCCAGTTTTAAAGAATCGGTTCAATATTTAATATTAGGCATTAATAATTTAGACTGATTTCAGTTTTAGGTCAACAAAAGTGTGTGTGTGTGTGACGTGTGCGTATTAAATATGATACAGTAGGCTAATATATTCAGCAATTGGCATTATACTTATGGTATTGCTAAACAGAAATTTCAAAGAATCTTTGCTGTAAGTTATGAGTGAATACATGTTTTAATAATGTGGCACTCTAAACAAGCACTATTTTTTAATATTACAACATTAAATCATTAAAAAAAATAATCATTTAAATCATGAGATTGTATTTTGGATGTCATATCCGACAACAAATTGCAATTTCTGATGTCTCTTTATGATCTTGGCCTTTTTAGAGTTAAAAAGTTAGTGAAGAAAACTTTATTAGAAGACTCTCGTTAATAATAGTCTTCTGCATCGGCCACGTGTGCTCAGTTTCCTGGAGCTAGTGTGTGTTTCCCAGATGTTGTACTTCTTGATTATTGTTAGCACATGTTGCAGAGACTATAATTGAAGAGTTAATTAGAACATGGATGTTTTTATGCTTTGTCTTTGCTTGTCATTGAAATGTACAGCGCTTGGGAACTACGCTGGTAGATGTAAGATGCGATATTAATAATTAAACCAAACGAGAGTAATATTCTTAACAGGGCCTATGATTTCCCTGATGCTGAAAACGCGGATGGAATCCATTCATAAAAAAGGAATTCAGTGTATAATAAGGAATTTGTCAAATTTTCTATTTCACTTAAATCATACGCAATATAATGTGTGTGTGAATATTAAACCGCAAAAAAGACTATTTAAATATGAATCCTGCATGTTCTGTGTGTGAATGAATGATTTGGTTTCCCACACACACACACACACACACTGAAGCTGGTGTGTTTTCAGCCTCTGATGCCTCGCTCACTATACGAACGCATGAACTTCATCTCCAGAGTCTCTTCACTGCTTCATTTGAGGAAAACTCGTATCATAAACACACAGAAACTCAAAGGTCTTCACGGCAAAATAAACATTTCTGTTTAATTGTGATAGAAATATATTTCTGTTGTACAGTAGAATTTAGCTACGTCTCAATGTCGTAATAATACTAACACTAATAATAATAGTAATTAATTATTAAAACTTTAAGAAATAATCACTATTTTTCTTCCATGTTTTAATTTGAACAGTAAAGCTCAGTTGTGCAGCACTTTCTTTGACAAAAATGTTTGTTTCATTTCATATGATTAAAAGATAAATTAAATTAATGTTTTATGCCTTCATTTGATTGCCAAAAAAAAACATAAAAAATATTATTCAAATTTAATTAAACCATTAAAATGGAATCCAAAAAACTTTGAATTTGAAAAAAGAAATTCAAATGTATTTCATAGGTCGCCTAAACATGTAATTTTTCATAAATTGTTGTGAAATTGTTTGTTTCATGATTTCAATTTATTAGACGTGTTTTTTGATTATTAACATTTAATTTAACCTTTAAAATGGAGTAAAAAAAAAAAGCAAATCCAGAAAAATTAAAACTTAAAATAAAAAAGGAATTTGGAAAATAAATCAAACAGATTTCATAGAGCCCTATCTTAATGAGCTAATATTGTTTATGAAACACAAACATTGCAAATATCTTTAAAACGAGATGTGGAAAACCACACGATGACAATGAAATCAGAGGTTGGTGAATGAAATGAGGAATCGTGACTGAAATCTGCTCATTTCTTTTCCTGTTTGGTTTATTGAACTATAGAGCTTTATTTGATCTGTGGGCATGTTCCTGTTAGTGTGTGATGTGTGTGTGATGTGTTCTTGCAGTGCTCCACACGGTCCCTGCTCCGGCCAACCTCACTATAGTGTCCCATAACTTCCGGCACATCTTGCAGTGGAGTCCTGGGATAGCCTCTCCTCCACGCACCGTGTTCAACATCAAACAGCGGTGAGTCTTCTCAGCGAACAAACCAGTCAGCACAACACAGATAACACACCTCCATAACACAACACAGATAACACACAACACAGATAACACACCTCCGTAACACAACACAAATAACACACAACACAGATAACACACCTCCGTAACACTACACAGATAACACACTTCCGTAACACTACACAGATAACACACTTCCGTAACACTACACAGATAACACACTTCCGTAACACTACACAGATAACACACTTCCGTAACACTACACAGATAACACACCTCCATAACACAACACAGATAACACACTTCCGTAACACTACACAGATAACACACTTCCGTAACACTACACAGATAACACACTTCCGTAACACTACACAGATAACACACTTCCGTAACACTACACAGATAACACACTTCCGTAACACTACACAGATAACACACCTCCATAACACAACACAGATAACACACTTCCGTAACACTACACAGATAACACACTTCCGTAACACTACACAGATAACACACTTCCGTAACACTACACAGATAACACACAACACAGATAACACACCTCCATAACACAACACAGATAACACACCTCCATAACACTACACAGATAACACACCTCCATAACACAACACAGATAACACACAACACAGATAACACACCTCCGTAACACAACACAGATAACACACAACACAGATAACACACCTCCGTAACACAACACAGATAACACACAACACAGATAACACACAACACAGATAACACACAACACAGATAACACACCTCCGTAACACAACACAGATAACACACAACACAGATAACACACCTCCGTAACACTACACAGATAACACACTTCCGTAACACTACACAGATAACACACAACACAGATAACACACCTCCGTAACACTACACAGATAACACACTTCCGTAACACTACACAGATAACACACTTCCGTAACACTACACAGATAACACACAACACAGATAACACACCTCCGTAACACAACACAGATAACACACAACACAGATAACACACCTCCGTAACACAACACAGATAACACACAACACAGATAACACACAACACAGATAACACACAACACAGATAACACACCTCCGTAACACAACACAGATAACACACAACACAGATAACACACCTCCGTAACACTACACAGATAACACACTTCCGTAACACTACACAGATAACACACAACACAGATAACACACCTCCGTAACACTACACAGATAACACACTTCCGTAACACTACACAGATAACACACTTCCGTAACACTACACAGATAACACACCTCCATAACACAACACAGATAACACACAACACAGATAACACACCTCCGTAACACAACACAGATAACACACAACACAGATAACACACCTCCGTAACACAACACAGATAACACACAACACAGATAACACACCTCCGTAACACTACACAGATAACACACTTCCGTAACACTACACAGATAACACACTTCCGTAACACTACACAGATAACACACTTCCGTAACACAACACAAATAACACACAACACAGATAACACACCTCCGTAACACTACACAGATAACACACTTCCGTAACACTACACAGATAACACACTTCCGTAACACGACACTGATAACACACTTCCGTAACACGACACTGATAACACACTTCCGTAACACGACACTGATAACACACTTCCGTAACACGACACTGATAACACACTTCCGTAACACGACACTGATAACACACTTCCGTAACACGATACTGATAACACACTTCCGTAACACACCGATAACACACTTCCGTAACACGACACGATAACACACTTCTGTAACACGACTCAGATAACACGCTTCCGTAACACGACACCGATAACGCACTTCCGTAACACGACACTGATAACACACTTCTGTTATCACGACACTGATAACACACTTCCGTAACACGACACTGATAACACACTTCTGTAACACGACACTGATAACACACTTCTGTAACACGACACCGATAACACACTTCCGTAACACGACACTGATAACACACTTCTGTAACACGACACCGATAACGCACTCCCGTAACACGACACTGATAACGCACTTCCGTAACACGACACTGATAACACACTTCTGTAACACGACACTGATAACACACTTCCGTAACACGATTCAGTAACACGACACCGATAACACACTTCCGTAACATGACACTGATAACGCACTTCCGTAACACGACACTGATAACACACTTCCGTAACACGACACTGATAACGCACTTCCGTAACACGACACCGATGTAACACGACACCGATAACACACTTCCGTAACACGACACTGATAACGCACTTCCGTAACACGACACTGATAACGCACTTCCGTAACACGACACCGATAACACACTTCCGTAACACGACACCGATAACGTACTTCCGTAACACGACACTGATAACGCACTTCCGTAACACGACACTGATAACGCACTTCCGTAACACGACACTGATAACGCACTTCCGTAACACGACACTGAAAACGCACTTCCGTAACACGACACTGATAACGCACTTCCGTAACACGACACTGATAACGCACTTCCGTAACACGACACTGATAACGCACTTCCGTAACACGACACTGATAACGCACTTTCGTAACACGACACCGATTTAACACGACTCAGTAACACGACACCGATAACACACTTCCGTAACACGACACCGATAACACACTTCCGTAACACGACACCGATAACACACTTCCGTAACACGACACTGATAACGCACTTCCGTAACACGATTCAGTAACACGACACTGATAACGCACTTCCGTAACACGACACCGATGTAACACGACTCAGTAACACGACACCGATAACACACCTCCGTAACACAACACAAATAACACACAACACAGATAACACACCTCCGTAACACTACACAGATAACACACTTCCGTAACACTACACAGATAACACACTTCCGTAACACTACACAGATAACACACTTCCGTAACACTACACAGATAACACACTTCCGTAACACTACACAGATAACACACCTCCATAACACAACACAGATAACACACTTCCGTAACACTACACAGATAACACACTTCCGTAACACTACACAGATAACACACTTCCGTAACACTACACAGATAACACACTTCCGTAACACTACACAGATAACACACTTCCGTAACACTACACAGATAACACACCTCCATAACACAACACAGATAACACACTTCCGTAACACTACACAGATAACACACTTCCGTAACACTACACAGATAACACACTTCCGTAACACTACACAGATAACACACAACACAGATAACACACCTCCATAACACAACACAGATAACACACCTCCATAACACTACACAGATAACACACCTCCATAACACAACACAGATAACACACAACACAGATAACACACCTCCGTAACACAACACAGATAACACACAACACAGATAACACACCTCCGTAACACAACACAGATAACACACAACACAGATAACACACAACACAGATAACACACAACACAGATAACACACCTCCGTAACACAACACAGATAACACACAACACAGATAACACACCTCCGTAACACTACACAGATAACACACTTCCGTAACACTACACAGATAACACACAACACAGATAACACACCTCCGTAACACTACACAGATAACACACTTCCGTAACACTACACAGATAACACACTTCCGTAACACTACACAGATAACACACCTCCATAACACAACACAGATAACACACAACACAGATAACACACCTCCGTAACACAACACAGATAACACACAACACAGATAACACACCTCCGTAACACAACACAGATAACACACAACACAGATAACACACCTCCGTAACACTACACAGATAACACACTTCCGTAACACTACACAGATAACACACTTCCGTAACACTACACAGATAACACACTTCCGTAACACAACACAAATAACACACAACACAGATAACACACCTCCGTAACACTACACAGATAACACACTTCCGTAACACTACACAGATAACACACTTCCGTAACACGACACTGATAACACACTTCCGTAACACGACACTGATAACACACTTCCGTAACACGACACTGATAACACACTTCCGTAACACGACACTGATAACACACTTCCGTAACACGACACTGATAACACACTTCCGTAACACGATACTGATAACACACTTCCGTAACACACCGATAACACACTTCCGTAACACGACACGATAACACACTTCTGTAACACGACTCAGATAACACGCTTCCGTAACACGACACCGATAACGCACTTCCGTAACACGACACTGATAACACACTTCTGTTATCACGACACTGATAACACACTTCCGTAACACGACACTGATAACACACTTCTGTAACACGACACTGATAACACACTTCTGTAACACGACACCGATAACACACTTCCGTAACACGACACTGATAACACACTTCTGTAACACGACACCGATAACGCACTCCCGTAACACGACACTGATAACGCACTTCCGTAACACGACACTGATAACACACTTCTGTAACACGACACTGATAACACACTTCCGTAACACGATTCAGTAACACGACACCGATAACACACTTCCGTAACATGACACTGATAACGCACTTCCGTAACACGACACTGATAACACACTTCCGTAACACGACACTGATAACGCACTTCCGTAACACGACACCGATGTAACACGACACCGATAACACACTTCCGTAACACGACACTGATAACGCACTTCCGTAACACGACACTGATAACGCACTTCCGTAACACGACACCGATAACACACTTCCGTAACACGACACCGATAACGTACTTCCGTAACACGACACTGATAACGCACTTCCGTAACACGACACTGATAACGCACTTCCGTAACACGACACTGATAACGCACTTCCGTAACACGACACTGAAAACGCACTTCCGTAACACGACACTGATAACGCACTTCCGTAACACGACACTGATAACGCACTTCCGTAACACGACACTGATAACGCACTTCCGTAACACGACACTGATAACGCACTTTCGTAACACGACACCGATTTAACACGACTCAGTAACACGACACCGATAACACACTTCCGTAACACGACACCGATAACACACTTCCGTAACACGACACCGATAACACACTTCCGTAACACGACACTGATAACGCACTTCCGTAACACGATTCAGTAACACGACACTGATAACGCACTTCCGTAACACGACACCGATGTAACACGACTCAGTAACACGACACCGATAACACACTTCCGTAACACGACACTGATAATGCACTTTCGGTACACGACACCGATGTAACGCGACTCAGTAACACGACACCGATAACACACTTCCGTAACACGACACTGATAACGCACTTCCGTAACACGACACTGATAACGCACTTCCGTAACACGACACCGATGTAACACGACTCAGTAACACGACACCGATAACACACTTCCGTAACACGACACTGATAACGCACTTCCGGTACACGACACCGATAACACACTTCCGTAACACGACACTGATAACGCACTTCCGGTACACGACACCGATAACACACTTCCGTAACACGACACTGATAACGCACTTCCGTAACACGACACTGATAACGCACTTCCGTAACACGACACTGATAACGCACTTCCGTAACACGACACTGATAACGCACTCCCGTAACACGACACTGATAACGCACTTCCGTAACACGACACTGATAACGCACTTCCGTAACACGACACTGATAACGCACTTCCGTAACACGACACTGATAACGCACTTCCGTAACACGACACTGATAACGCACTTCCGTAACACGACACTGATAACGCACTTCCGTAACACGACACTGATAACGCACTCCCGTAACACGACACTGATAACGCACTTCCGTAACACGACACTGATAACGCACTTCCGTAACACGACACTGATAACGCACTTCCGTAACACGACACCGATAACGCACTTCTGTAACACGACACCGATAACACACTTCCGTAACACGACACTGATAACGCACTTCCGTAACACGACACTGATAACACACTTCCGTAACACGACACCGATAACACACTTCTGTAACACGACACTGATAACGCACTCCCGTAACACGACACTGATAACGCACTTCCGTAACACGACACTGATAACGCACTTCCGTAACACGACACTGATAACGCACTTCCGTAACACGACACTGATAACACACTTCTGTAACACGACACCGATAACACACTTCCGTAACACGACACCGATAACACACTTCCGTAACACACTTCCGTAACACGAAACTGATAACACACTTCCGTAACACGACACTGATAACACTGTAACACGACACTGATAACGCACTTCCGTAACACGACACTGATAACGCACTTCCGTAACACGACACTGATAACGCACTCCCGTAACACGACACTGATAACACACTTCCGTAACACGACACTGATAACGCACTTCCGTAACACAACACTGATAACACACTTCTGTAACACGACACCGATAACACACTTCTGTAACACGACACTGATAACGCACTCCCGTAACACGACACTGATAACACACTTCTGTAACACGACACCGATAACACACTTCCGTAACATGACACCGATAACACACTTCCGTAACACACTTCCGTAACACGACACTGATAACACACTTCCGTAACACGACACTGATAACACTGTAACACGACACTGATAACGCACTTCCGTAACACGACACTGATAACGCACTTCCGTAACACGACACTGATAACACACTTCCGTAACACAACACTGATAACGCACTTCCGTAACACGACACTGATAACACACTTCCGTAACACGACACTGATAACACACTTCCGTAACACGACACTGATAACACTGTAACACGACACTGATAACGCACTTCCGTAACACGACACTGATAACGCACTTCCGTAACACGACACTGATAACGCACTCCCGTAACACGACACTGATAACACACTTCCGTAACACGACACTGATAACGCACTTCCGTAACACAACACTGATAACGCACTTCCGTAACACGACACTGATAACACACTTCCGTAACACGACACTGATAACGCACTTCCGTAACACGACACTGATAACACACTTCCGTAACACGACACCGATAACACACTTCTGTAACACGACACTGATAACGCACTCCCGTAACACGACACTGATAACGCACTTCCGTAACACGACACTGATAACACACTTCCGTAACACGACACTGATAACACACTTCCGTAACACGACACTGATAACACACTTCTGTAACACGACACCGATAACACACTTCCGTAACACGACACCGATAACACACTTCCGTAACACGACACTGATAACACACTTCCGTAACACGACACTGATAACACTGTAACACGACACTGATAACGCACTTCCGTAACACGACACCGATAACACACTTCCGTAACACGACACCGATAACACACTTCCGTAACACGACACCGATAACACACTTCCGTAACACGACACTGATAACACACTTCCGTAACACGACACTGATAACACTGTAACACGACACTGATAACACTGTAACACGACACTGATAACACTGTAACACGACACTGATAACGCACTTCCGTAACACGACACTGATAACGCACTTCCGTAACACGACACTGATAACGCACTTCCGTAACACGACACCGATAACACACTTCCGTAACAATCATTACACGGCACATCATTAATGCATGAAAACTAGTGCTGTCAATCGATTCAAATGATTAATGATTTAATCACATTTTTCTGTAATTAATCACGATTAATATGAATGTTTTTCTTAATTTTAGATATTAATTATAGACATTTAACATTACAGTGTAATTGAAAGCTATAATTTGTAACATTTAAAAGGCTTTAAAAAAATAAACTTTCAATTAACTTAAAACTATCTTCTCATAAACCCTTTGTAATAAATGTCACATTTAGCTGTGCTTTAATTTATCAGGGCTCAACACTGAGGGTTTTTCCTATTGAGCCAGTCAGACCGGTTCAGATTTTTACTTAATCCACAATAAAGTTATTGTTTTTGACCCATGTAACCTTGTAAAGATTCCCAGGTATAACAGGTAAATATACAGAAATGTAATAATTCCTGTATCTGTGCTGTTAATAAACACTGCACTTCGCTTCATGAATGATAAACTGAATGGAGATTAATTCCTGTTAAAGCTACTGACGTTCTTCAGTCGAGAGCAGCGATTCTCTTCGTCTTTTGTGTTTTGGTGAACATTAATGACAGACGCAGCCGGTTTATTAGGCTACTGTCACTTTAAGAGCTGAATCACATGACGTGGATCTGACACACACTACATCTTCTCACTTCTCTTTACATCCAGTTAACACTTTAACTCATTTAATACTGTGCTTATGAGATAACTCGCAATAGTTTTGTGTGTTTTTGTCCATTCAAGCGTTAAAAAGTCTAAAGCGGCTTTCTTGGTGTGTTTCGGGTGTTTGTTTGTTTGTTGTTGATGGCAGGAAAAAGCAGATGCTGCATTACATATTTTTAACATGTTAAACTGAAAAAAAAACTAGTTGCATTAATTGTTTTGTTATGTTAATTTTGACAGCCCTATATTTAATATTATAATTATTACTTATATATTTTAATTCTCCTAGTCTTTATTTCTTCATTTTTAAATGTTGCCAAACACATTTTCTCTTCAGTTTATTGTTTGTAATGTCTGCAGTTGTGCTACACACAGTAGAAGATAGTATGTCTTTTTTTCTGGGGATAAAAATGAAGTGATTTGTTGCTTAAAAAAGCAAAATTATCTCCCAATGGGGTCAGAAAAATAATGTTAATTCAAACAGAACCAAGATTATTTGGCAGATAATTTTGCTTGTTTTAAGCCACAAATCACTTAATTTTTATATATTTGGACTGGAAACAAGACAAAAGTACCAAGTAAGAAAAGCATTTTTGCAGTGTATAACACAAATCCTAAGAAGTTTTTCGTAGCTTAAACTCACACTTTCTTACATTCGGTCCTATTTTGACCATCTTTAAATAAACTGATGTTTTATTCTCACAGCTGCAGTGGAAGAAACTCGACAGTGCGTCTGAACATCACGAGTACAACAGTAGACGTCTCTGAAACACTGAAGGACATCTACACACTCTGCACTTTCATAGTTTGGGCATCGCTTGACAACACAACATCAGTGAAAGTGAAAAAAAATATTACACCATACGAAGACAGTAAGTGCTGTAACATCTGGGGAGGATGAGTCGTGTTCTCTGCCTCAGTTTGCATGATCTAGAGTTGTTCACTTCTAAAACGGCTTTGATTCTGCTTTGTTCAGCCATCATCGGTCCACCCGTTATATCCCTGTCTGGCTGTGGGAACTGTCTGAACATCAGCATCTCTCCACCCCGCGAAACTCCTGTTACACAACACATCACTCGCTTTTATAACTCTATTGAATTCAGAATAAGTTGGAAGAAAGCCGGACAGAGTGAGGTGAGTGTTTATTTGTGTGTGCTCAGAATAAGAGAGATTAATCGCTGGCTAGCCTAAGTTACATTTTATTTCTTTATCCAAGTAATTATTAGATGTGTTAGTTATCTTTTTGCTAATAAAATTCACTTTATTGTGTTGTCCTTGTGTTGGTAATACAGAAAGTGGCTCTACAACTGATTCAGGATCAGCTGACAAACTCCCTTTAAACTACATCACTTCTGATCGGTCACATCCTAATCACTGTGTTCGATCCAGCACTTATTTATTTACAAATTAATTTACAGTTTTACATGTTTTGTGAGATTCACCCAGTTATCTAGTCGCTCTGGGCTGGTTAAGAATACAGATTACTCTTACTTAAACTGTTGGATTATGATATTTGGTAAATGATTGTGCAATATCTTAAAATCTAGATTTATTTGTGATAACTGTTGATTAGAAAATGGAAATTTTGACGGTACCGATAACCGATAATTCTTTATATTTGAAAGCCGATAACCGATATTTTGGCCGATAAATCTAAATCCAAATTTTTTATATAATTTTTGAGAGCCTGATTACAAAAACAAAAGTCTCACCATTAGAAGCCACGTCCTAAACACACAATTATCATGTTCTCATTATGATTTTATGTAGCCGATATGACAGACTTGCACATAACCGTATTTTCCTTTTTTTTTTTTTTTTAAGTAATGCCAATCATATTTCAAGCTATTCAGAACCATCATGGTGAACAGTGTGCATATGAAGGAAATAATCCATTATTTATCTGCTTTAATATTTCGGACACATTATATCGGGCCGATATGTTAAAAATGATCATATATCGGCCGATACCGATATGATTGCCGATATATCGTGCGTCTCTACTTAAAGCTGCCCTTGTAGAGTCCCATCAGCTGAGCTTCTCTCGTCTTGTACTGGTGTCTTGTCCACCCTAGGCCGAGCACATCTCTACAGTCGAGAACCGGGCGGTCCTGCAGAACCTTCAGCCGGGACATCAGTACTGTGTGCAAGTTCTTCCCCAGATCAACTCCAACAACAACACTCGAGCGTCAGCGTGGCAGTGCGAATACACCAGTCGAGTGGAGCCAAGAGGCGGTAGGAAAACACCTTTTAACTGCAGCACTATATATATAACAGTAGTCAAAGACATTGTATAGCAGTATTTTCTGAGCTTGAACATGATTGGCCAGTGAACTTTCCCTGCCGTTATTTAATAAGGCTTGGTATATCTGTGAAAGAGGGTTTCCTCACAGCGTCAGCTACTGACGTAATGTCGAGTGAACCGAACTCCAATGGGACTATAGGCTTACTTGGCAAGTTCTTACTAGTAAAAAGTCTAATTTGAGGCCTCGCTAATTAAGAGTTGTAAAAATTCTGAGATTTCAGAGTCTAGAAAGAACATGTAGATATGTGTAATTCAATTTGAACTAGATCTCTGTAGTTTAGAACTAGTAGTAATTGACGTTTGACCATTCAGAATGACTTTTCTGATATCATATTAACGTTACAGATACCTCTCAAAGTGTAGGGATCATCTACTAGAACTAGTAATAATTCATTTAAAAATTCTGTACTAGTGAAATTGAGTAGTCAATATAATTACAGATATCATAAAATCGATTATTACTTGTAAAAATGTAATTAAAGAGTTTACAATAATCCACTATTGTGATTCCACGAAAGAAAGCGGCATATTCCAAGAGTGATGTATTACGGCAGAAGGTAAATCATGTGAAGTATAAGAAAGACATGTGGGATTTGATAAGAGAAAAGGTGTATTATCAGTTCTGCTTTGCATATGATGGTTTTTTAATCGTACAAATTCAAGTTGCAAAGCTTTATGATGTAGACTGTCAGTGGAAAGTTATATAACATTTGTTGATGGAATAATCCATTTGTAGAACACTTGAATTAGATTGAATAGAAATTCTCATGAATTGGATTTGTAACAGAATGGGCTCAGAATTTGAGTTTTATGTATATGGTTTCAGTGAGAAACACCAGTGTTGGTCAGAGGTCTGTTGAGACGCACCCCAATCGCTGTGCCAAATTACACAGCTCTACCATGTGGACCTATGGGCCGTGGGCTCTTGTCCTGAAGAATGCAGTAGAGCTGCAGTATGCATGTTTCTTCTATAATGCCTGAAAGTAAGGTGTAAATGTGTGTCTGCAGGGCTGTATGTAATGAGCTGGTCTCTGGGAGCGTCGGTGCCGGGTGTAGCTGTGCTCCTGCTAGCGCTGGGTCTGGTCTACACTGGGTTTCTCTGTAAGCTGAAGACGCCTCCTCTTAAATCACTGGTAAGAGCCTGTCTGCACTCAAACACAGCATCAGGAATCTCTAATGCTGTGGTTCCCAAACCTGTCCTGGCGACCCACCAACACTGCGCGTTTTCTCTCTCTCCCTAATCAAACACACCTGAACTCATTAGCTCATTAATCACGTGCAGTGTTGGTGGGTCGCCAGGACAGGTTTGGGAACCACTGCTCTAATACATGTTCATTTACATCATTAGCTTCTCTTACCTGGTAGCACTTTTGTTATGGTTATGATTGGAGTTCATTTCATCTATAAAGCAGCTCTGCAGAAAACAGCGATGTCATCGTCCAGCTCAGCTCAGTTCTCCTCCAATAGTGCCAGTGCGGTCAAGTCAATGATATTACTATTGAACTGCTGTGTAAAATCAATATTATTAGGGATGCACCGATATGAAAATTGTGGCCGATAACGGTACATCTTTATATTTGGCAGCCGATAACTTTTGTTTTGAGAGCTTGTTTCAAAAACAAAAGCCTCGCCATTAAAAGCCATTTGGCTCTTCAACGTGAATCAAACATCTACAGGACAGAAGCCTATACCGAGATTTTCTCAATGTTTCGTTTTTTTTGCAGCCTCAGATCCAGATCTTCAATAGTTGTGTCTCGGCCAAATACCACACCACACATCAATGGAAAGCTTATTTATTCAGTTTCAGCAATCTCAGTTTAAAAAAATTGACCCTTGTGACTGGTTTTGTGGCCCAGGGTCACATGACTTAACTATATGACTTTTCCTTTTCAAAGTGATTCCAAATATATATCAAGCAATTCAAAACCATCATGTTGAACAGTGCGCATCTGAAATAATCCATTATTTATTGGCTTTAATATATCTAGTTAATAACCGTAACAAATTAACATATATCGGCCGATACCGATATGGTGGCCGATATATCATGCATCCCTAAATAATAGGGATGCACGATATATCGACCACATATCGATATCGGCCGATAAATGATCTTTTTTGATGTTATCGTTATCGGTCCGATAAGAAAATTGGGCCGATATATCAAAGCCGATAGATACATTATTTACTTCAGTTGAGAGATGCGCGCTGTTCGCCATGATGGTTCTGAATGATTGGACTCACTTCGAAAAGGAAGATACAGTTCAGTGCAACATGTGCAGCACAAATCTGTCACATAGCCTTCATTATATTATAATAAAAACACGCAAACGAATGTTGTGAATTGTTGTTCGCCAGTGTTTCAGCGCGACGAGCGCGTTGTGGCGGGAAGAGCGCGTCTATGGAGTTTAGCCTTCATGACGAGCACAGTCAAGCTCTCTTGAGCATTCGCAGCATTGTAAGTAGTAATATGTTTATTTTGTGTATATATATATCTGATTAATCTAATATAGGATGCGTTTGGGTGAGTTAATGAACGATGCAGTAGCGCTTCATTGTACCGGTGATCATCTTTGCTGTGATCATCTTTGATCATTTTAGCGTTGCGCAGTTCAAACAGCAATGCACATTTATAACTATAATTGGGACGGTCATATACATGCCATTATAATGAGAACACTACTGTAATAAAACGTTGTGAATTCTCTGTTTAGTTGCCGCTTCGGCGCGTTGTTGTGGGAACAGCGCGTCCAGAACAGGGATTAGCCTTATGACCAGCACAAGTTCGATTGTGCATTCACGTCATTTTGCACAGATAAGTCGTAATATAAAGTTGATGTAATATAAATATCGGATTAATCTCACATATGATGCGTTTCATTCGTGGATTTAAACAACCTGCTAGAAAAGCTCTTCAGTTTCCCGGTGCTCGTTCTCTTCAGCTTCAGCGCGCGCAGATTAAACAACAATGCAAAACATTAAAAGCAATGATTGGGACTGTCATACAATTATAATTGTTTTCACTATTGTAATACATTTGTAAATTCTTTGGGTTTGCATTCTTCAGCAACCGTTGAGTTGATTAACCTTCTAGCAATCACCCTTCTCTTCCGCTTCAGCGCGCAGCTCACACAGCAATGTCATTTGAAACAGTAACTAAGCTATTAAAGATGTTTACTATCAATGTAATATTAAAAATGTTAAAAAAAATAAAAAACATTGCGTTATAATTAATAACTAACATTATTTTGTTGTCGTATTATTTTCATCAACGATATGGTTTGATTTAAAATATTTTTTTCTTATTGTCCGCGCGGAGGCGATTCCATTGTATTGATCCATGGCACATGCATTTTGTTTCTTTATATGCAGCCCAATGTTATCCAATGACTTGTTTGCATTATTTATGTATTATATTTTTTGTTAGGCAATAGATTGTTTGATAACACTTTACAATAAGGTCTCATTTGTTAATGCATTGACTAACAGAGAGCAATAGCCTTTGTTATTGTTAGTTAATAAAATATGTGCGTTCATGTTAGTTCACAGTGCATTGACTAATGTTAACAGATACAACTTTCTTAAAAATGCTTTATAAAATTGTTGGGTCATGCTTACTAATGCTAACAAAATTAAACCTTATTATAAAGTACCATTTTTTAATAAAGAAAGTTGTCCATATGAGTGTAAAATTAATTTTAAAAGATAAGGAATCTTACACTGGTTCAAACTAGGCTATACTGTATTGTATAGGTTTGATTTATGTTAAAAGTGTTTGAGACAAGGCTTTTAATGGTGAGCCTTTTGTTATACAGGCTATCAAAGTATATCAAAATTTTAATTTAGATTTATCGGCCAATATATCGGTTATCGGCTTTCAAATGTAAAGAATTATCGGTTATCGGTATCGGCCAAAATGTTCATATCGGTGCATCCCTACATTATTATTAATAATAGAATGAAGCTTCTAATCACAAGTTGGGAGCTGCCGTTTCAAGCACACCACTTTGCAATGCGTTGGTGAATGCTGGAGCTGTGGTTTAAACTCAACTGTTGGTAACTATAGTTTGCTAATGATGTTTTTGGGAAACACCCCAGGCTGGCAGAAGCCCATTAACTGTTCCTTAAAATGCTCAGAAGTGACACAAGTCTTGCTGATCTCAACACCTCAGTCTCGTTTGTGAAGGAACCCCTTGACTAGTAGCCAGGGCCCTGGAGTTTCATGCCTTAGACCGGCCCACTTTAGTTCCCGACTGACTATTAAAATAATGTAATTAAAACCTCAGTATATAAGCAATAGTGCACTGTTCTGTACAGCCTTGTAATTCATTGTATTCTCAAAAATATCATTTTCTATTCAGCAAAAGTGATCTTGCTAGGGGGTTCGGGGGCATATTATTTTTCCACTGTCATTGGCAAAAACATATGTGTATCTGTGTTAAATAGGAATCCATTGTAATAGGAATCCATTTCTGTCGGTCGTTTAAAACTTCTATCGTAAAACAGCTGTTCAATGCAGCATTCAACCCAGTGCCATGACAACACCGGCCCTCCTGGCCAATAATACAGACCGGCCCACCGGGACTTCTCCCGGTGCTCCCGATTAGCCAATCCGGGCCTGCTAGTAGAGTTGGAGCAAGAGCCGTAGTTTGAGTAAATGTCCTCACCTGTCCTCCTGCCACATATAATGATCATCTCTTTCTCTCTGTTGTTTTCCTCATTTAGAGCAACATTGTTTCTCAACCCCACGATCTGATTCCTGAGGAGACGTCATGTGAGAAAGTGTCCTCAACCGAGGCTCAGTCAAACAGTGCATCTAAAAACTATCCCACCAAAACCAGCAACCCACTGCATGTGGAGGAGGATTCAGGGAACCCCCAACACGAGGACAACTATGCCAACAAGGTCTGGGGTTTTTCATCGGTTGTGAGATTTGTGCCCTTATATTCTGTGACATTTCCATCAGCCTGTGTCCATAATGCCAATGATCAACAGTTTAAAGTTTGAGTTCCTTTATTGGCTCGAGCCGTGCAGTGCTGAAAAGAGTATACGCATTGACTTCAGTAGAAGTAGAAGTTCTAGAAATCATATGACTCAAGTAGGAGTACCGTATTTTCCGGACTATAAGTCGCATCAGTCAAAAAATGCGTCATGAAGAGGAAAAAAACATATGAAGAGTTTGGTTCCAAAACGCGATAAACGCCATTTAAAAAAAAAATTAGTTACTGCAAAAATCAGTATTGTATCTGGTTGGTATTGAAAAGTCAATGTTTAATTTGAAGTAAAATGCGATATCCGCCGTGTTATTCTGTCATGTTTTCTCCCTTTCTTTCCAAACCGCGACAAACGCCAGTCTCCCTTCTCTGCAGAATGCGATATATCCACTCTCAACCAATCACAACGCACCATTCCACTCTCAACCAATCACAACGCACCATTCCACTCTCAACCAATCACAACGCACCATTCCACTCTCAACCAATCACAACGCACCATTCCACGCAATGTAAACAGTAACGGCAGCGCCTTAAATACACCCGGCTTCCTAGTTTTTCTTATCTATTTTGTACTTTTCGATCAACAAACAAACAAAAAAATGAATAATTTTGCCGGCATTGATGAACCTGTGGTTGTTTCTGCGGTGGGTAAGAAACGTAAGGCATCGAAATCGAATCATTTACGTGAGGAGATTAAGAAGATGAGGCACTCGGGAGGAGGACAAATGTTTTCAATCTTCTTTACAGTTCTTAATAAAAATATTATACTAATAAACTATTTTCAACAGTTTCAATATGAAAAAAAAAAACTTTTATATTGATTCAATGGATTAATTGCATTTTGAATTTAAAAAAAAAAATGGATTTGTTGCATTTTGGGGAAAAAAATAATCTGTTTTTATTATAAATCTTTGAAAATCAAAACCTGGATTTAATTTTTTTTTGTTATTATGACCTACAAATGCTATGTGAAAGTTTGAAACAGAAAATAGTGGTTTTCATCTTTCCACTTTCTTGGTAAAGAAAACACATTTTTACTCAAATTAATCTAAATGGATTTATTGCGTTTTGGAACCAAACTCTTCATTTATAAGTCGCACTGGACTATAAGTCGCATTGATTTCGAATTTATTTCACAATCGAAGACAAAGAACAGACATTTCAGCTGCACAACAGCACACAGAACAACAGGCTGAACAGGTGTCCGGTGTGCTAACGCAACACTAACAGTTATTCAGCTGCACAATAGCATAAAGAACACCCGGGAGGCAGAATAGGCTAAATTAACATAAGCTAGCAAGTCCAACAAGCAAGTTACCGGTCAGCAAGTTCACCGAGCGCTCTCGATCTCATTCCACATCACTGAATCCATTGAGTTCTTCATCCTCGGTGTCGCTTCTGAACAACTCCGGCAACTCGAGCGCCCTCTCGCGGCTGTGGAAGCTAATGCGTTGATATGTAAGTCGCACCGGACTAGAAGTCAACAGAACTGTACAAACAGACAACAGAAAAGGGGAAATGGCCCTTACCGTATTCATCACCATTTCAGTGTCTTTAAGTTCCTCTTGGGTTCCTCCTCCCGTTTTTGGATATTTCCTCTTAAATATTAATTTTTTGGCATCTTGTACCATGTTTTTGTATCTTTTCTGTACGTCTGTAACGCTCCGCTCGACGGTCGGATTAACTCTGTTAACTGTTGAGCAATCTTTGTCCAAATTACACATTTCTTCTTCTTACTGCATTCTCCGCTAAATCTCCCCAGTAAAATGTCCTTGTAACTGTTACACTCCTCCAACACACACACATCTCCCGCTGGGGTAAACTGTGCCGAGCGGTTGAATGCGCTTACTCGATCCGCCATGTCTTTTTGTTTTGAAAAGCGTCTTATTTTGCCCAGAATGCATTGCAGTGTAGTCCTGCTTAAGATAGTGAGAGTCTCTACTATATCTCAGCCGTATCTTTGTGAAACCGGCAACAGAAGCCAGTTATTTCAAACACGACTGACGTGTGCATATATAGTGATTTTGGAGCAAAACATGATATTAATCTTGTAACTTGTGTGCTTGACGTTATGCTAAGCAAACATGCTAGCTATCCCTGTTTTCAAAATTAGAAACAAAACAACCATTCTTGGAAAGTAAGTCCATGTTTAACCCTTGTGTTATGTTGCGGGTCAATTTGACCCGTTTCGATTTTCAAGTTGTTGGAAATACTGGTCAACTTTTGTTTTTTTTTCTTGATATTTTGTGACTTTTTCTCATTTATCATGATGAACATGCATGCAAAGTTTCAACATGCTGATGTGTTTGACATATACAAACAAAATTACTGTTACGTTCGTGATGTTCGCGGGTCAATTTGACCCTCATAGACAGCCATTCAAAAGCAACTGTACAGACACAAAATAAAAACATTTATTTTCTGTATGTCAGGGCACTTCAACTCCAGTTCTAACGTGCAAGTGCATCTAAAAGTGCTCTAACCCTAACCAAACACACTTGAAAAAGATAAAATTACAGTGCTCAGAATTATTTGCAAATTACAGATGAAAATCTTTGTCAGACACAGATAGTAAAATAAGCTCTCATTTCAATATTCAAAATATCTAAAATACCTAGCTTTTAACCAAAACTTTTATGTAGGATTTTCAAAGGCAGCTTCACAGAGCCAAAAAATAAATAAAAAACATTTATTTGATGTATGTTTTTGTTATGTTTGGTTTCTCACTTCCCAGTGAGTGAATAATGAAACTAGGAAAATAGGTCTTAGGAAACTAGGGAAAGTTAACTTAGAAAAATGAAAAATTTTCATTATACAGCAATTTTTTTTGTTCAGTTACGATGTTCAAAGCATAAAATGTAAAAAAAAAAAAAAAAAAAAAGGAAAAAAAAATATATGCATAAAAAATCAGTATACTGTTTATTTTCCAATTTTGTCAAAACAAAACTGTTTTAAAAACATTTTCATAAATCATATTTTCAGATATAATGTTTTTGTAATGTTTGACAAATGCTGATATTAAAAGTTTACAGTTTGTATCTAAATCTTTGTTGTTTTTCATAGTGTGGTTTTTGAGGAATTGTATTGAATCCAATTAGGGTCAATTTGACCCGGTCCATAAGGGGTGTACACAGAATTCGAACAGAACACAAGGGTTAAGAAGGAAAAAGGCAAAGAAGGACAGGTGAGAGGTTTGATCAAAAGAAATGAGGGATTGAAACGGTATGAGTAGAAAAGTGCCAGTAAAAAAAAGAAATAAAGTGGGATACAAGTAAATAAAATGCTCTTTTTCTTTTGTTCTCCTGAAAATACGCCGGGAGACCGCTGTTGCTATAGTAACCGAATACATCTGATTGACAGATAAATGATGTGATCTTGTTACGTGTGTATTGATCTTCATGTCCTGCTGTTCTCACAGGCCGACTCGGATGATGAGGAAGAGGAGGAGGAGGAAGATAGAGGCGTCTACATGGGGTGTGTGATAGATGACAGTGGTTTAACAGAGGCTGTAGTTTCATCTTCGCCGGGGAGATCACAGCACTGCTCTGGAGAGGCCCGGGAAGCAGCCGTCGAGGAGATCCGGCGTGGTGAAGTGCTGGAGGACAGGAGCACACTTACACACACTCACTCAGATGAAGATGCTTCCGGGAACGTCAGCCTGCTCTCAGTCACTCTGAGGGCTCTGGGACCCCAGGACAGCGAGGTGTGTAAACCTCTGCTCCTCGAGTCAGTGCGGGGGTCATGTGCCTCTGAGGACTGTGTGCTGGAGGAGGAGGAGGAGGAGGAGGAGGAGCTCCTGCTGGAAGACACACCCACAGACACGAGGCCCGATGTGGACTCCCCGTCGGGATATATGCTGACCCACGCCGGGAACACCAGTGGACTAACCAGGTCCTCGTCAGAAGAGTCGGGGGTTGACACGGACTATATCACACGCTGAAGACGACCATATTTATGTGAGGAATTGCAGAATTTAACGAACTTGACGGGGCTATCATAGAAGTGTGCCTAAATCATGGAAATGATCCGAATGAAATGAAGAGACAGATGCAATCACACTGGTGATACATTGCAAGTCGATGAGCAAGAAATGGAAGAGCTTAGGATTGTGTTTTGTGAAGAGATGTTGTATATTTATAGTTTTGGTCCTCGAAACTTAAAAAATACAGTATTGTTCCGAATATAAGACGACACCCTTTTTTCAATATGCTACCTTTTGGAAAAAGGCTTTTTGAAGAGCAAATTTTTTTTTCCATAAAATTTTTTCATATTTAAAATTTTGTATTGAAAGGATGGTAAATGCTGGTAAAAATGTGCCAATTTTTCACAATTTTCCAATAGCTGGGTTTCAGTCACGTGATTATGATGACGCGCGAAATTCAGATGGAGGGCAGGGAGTGAAGAGCGCAATGGACGAGATGGAGGAAAGTCCGTACTGTACTACTTTACACGCTATTACACGAGAAAGATATAAACAAAAAATCAAACATATGTTGGACGTGATCCTTACGTTATGAAGAGGAGCGATTTTTCAACTGAATTGAAAGATTTTCCTGCCATCGAGGCGCTAGATATCAGCAACTACCTCGTCTTACAGACATACTTTGACTTTACAAAGTTCGTAAATGTTACACGTTACACAAACACAGCCACGTAAGTTGTATTAACTCCCCTTTGACGAAGTGATCACTGCACAAACGGGCATTTTCCCATTCGGCTCCTCCCGACCGCAGACGTAGGTTTGCAAGCCGTTTTTCCGGAGTTTTTCGGTCAATTTCTTGCATTTTCCCCCTTTATGAACAACAACTTTTGGTACACGATAAAAACTCCTCGCGGTTTGATCGATTTAAGTAACCATAAACGACGCAAAACATAGGCATTTTGAGTTTGTTATAGTGCTTTCTAAATACAGCAAATCACTTCCTGCCCTCCATTTGCATTTCGCGCCATGGCAACGCAGTGGCGTGACGTCATATGAAAACAAGCTATTCTGGACAAAAATCACATTTAAAATTTAAAAATAAACACTTTTTGGCATCCCACGATTTTGGCACGATCCGTTTGACGTAGGATTGACGGGGATTCGCAAACGACAACGGGCGTCGGGACGCAAGATTCGATCGTATCATCTCGTAGAGTGTGTCATAGTGGGCGGCAACCTACGTCGCGTCTGCGATGCTTCACGACTAGCATGTTTAATATTTGAACGGTCGTCCACGACGGGTTGCATCACATGTATGAGGTTGACCAATAGGAGCACAGAAGCTTTTCCGTACACAACTTTCAAAAATGGCGAAACGAAAGAGAGACGATGGTGCTACTAGGTGGAGTTATGACATGGAGGAAAGGTTATTAAAAGGAAACAGAAAACAATATTTTACCTCAAGTTCTCTTTGGAGGATTGACAGCCCATACTGTCCTCTTCGAGCAACCCAGGAACGTCTCCATTGTCGGGTTTTCTTTACGTTTTTCTGAACACAGGACAGCCAACACTCACCGCTTCATCCATTGTTTGTTTACGTTCGTTTCCGGAAGTCACTCGCTATAGTTTCGCCTTCTCGATGACATCACGCGCGGCGTTAAAGACGGCACGCGATGACTGGTCAGGAAGCAACGGGTAGTCTGACATGTTTCTTGCCCACGACACCACAAGATTTTCGGAGTCAAAATCGCGTAATCTGACACAGCGACTATCGTAACAGACAAAACAAATCGCGTAATCTGAACCAGGCATTAGTCTGACCATCTCACGGTGAGAAACATGTCTCATTACCAGTAGAAGTGAAATCTTACTGTAGTTTTGAAAGTCTGTACCGTTTTAAGACGCTTCTTCTACCATTACACTGACAGTGTTTCTTGGCACACTCGTGTTACTCGTCTTTGGCGCCACCTAGTGTTGCGGGTGTATTATTGACATGTAAAACAATACACCGGTAAGATGAACCCATTTTTTCAGATGTATTTCTAAGAAAAAACATGGTCTTATATCCAGAACAATACGGCACTACTGTTGTTGTGTCAGAATGAAGTGTTTAATATAAATCTGTGGTTTACATATAAAAATAGAGGCTGTTTGATCGTGTGCTCCTGCTTTGAGGGTCTAGTGGTGGTTAAACTGGAGATATAACATGAGATGCTTCAATCTTTGAGCTCATGAATCTATTATTCCACCACAGTCAAAATGATTTGCTTTGGAACAAGATAGAGTTTTATAATTTTATATTTCATTTAATTTAATGCCGGATTTGTGCACTGCTTTTGTAGCCTACTTTCAGACTGAATTGTTGGCTTTTATATTTCCTATTGTTCAAATGTCTTATACTTCTATAATTGCTATTTTTTTACATTTAATATTACTGTTCAATAAAAAAATATTTTGCATAAATACTTGTTGTTGAGAGATGCAGCTGCATTGTTACGCACTAGGTGGCGGCGTTAGTGTTTCACAGCAGCTTTACAGTGAGGACACTGAAAACACACAGTGTGTTTCTAGAAGAAGAGAGCGCCACAGTCTAGCTTTAGTGAGTTCAGTGAAGCTCTTTGACCTAGCACACACACACAACACACTATAGACTCTATAACTCAATGTTAGGCTGCATAGATTAGGTCAGCCGGAACCAGCGTCTGGACACACACACACACACACACACACTCCAGATCTGATGAAGGACCAGCGTCTGGACACACACACACACACTCTAGATCTGATGAAGGACCAGCGTCTGGACACACACACACACACACTCTAGATCTGATGAAGGACCAGCTTCTGGACACACACACACACACTCTAGATCTGATGAAGGACCAGCGTCTGGACACACACACACACACACACACTCCAGATCTGATGAAGGACCAGCTTCTGGACACACACACACACACTCTAGATCTGATGAAGGACCAGCGTCTGGACACACACACACACACACACACTCCAGATCTGATGAAGGACCAGCTTCTGGACACACACACACACACTCTAGATCTGATGAAGGACCAGCGTCTGGACACACACACACACACACACACACACTCTAGATCTGATGAAGGACCAGCTTCTGGACACACACACACACACTCTAGATCTGATGAAGGACCAGCGTCTGGACACACACACACACACACACACACACTCTAGATCTGATGAAGGACCAGCTTCTGGACACACACACACACACTCTAGATCTGATGAAGGACCAGCGTCTGGACACACACACACACACACTCTAGATCTGATGAAGGACCAGCGTCTGTACACACACACACACACTCTAGATCTGATGAAGGACCAGCGTCTGGACACACACACACACACACACACACTCTAGATCTGATGAAGGACCAGCGTCTGGACACACACACACACACACTCCAGATCTGATGAAGGACCTGCATCTGGACACACACACACACACTCCAGATCTGATGAAGGACCAGCTTCTGGACACACACACACACACTCTAGATCTGATGAAGGACCAGCGTCTGGACACACACACACTCTAGATCTGATGAAGGACCAGCTTCTGGACACACACACACACTCTAGATCTGATGAAGGACCAGCGTCTGGACACACACACACACACACTCCAGATCTGATGAAGGACCTGCATCTGGACACACACACACACACACACACACACACTCTAGATCTGATGAAGGACCAGCGTCTGGACACACACACACACACACTCCAGATCTGATGAAGGACCTGCATCTGGACACACACACACACACACACACTCTAGATCTGATGAAGGACCAGCTTCTGGACACACACACACACACTCTAGATCTGATGAAGGACCAGCGTCGGGACACACACACACACACACTCTAGATCTGATGAAGGACCAGCGTCTGGACACACACACACACACTCTAGATCTGATGAAGGACCAGCTTCTGGACACACACACACACACTCTAGATCTGATGAAGGACCAGCGTCTGGACACACACACACACACTCTAGATCTGATGAAGGACCAGCTTCTGGACACACACACACACACACACACACACTCTAGATCTGATGAAGGACCAGCGTCTGTACACACACACACACACACTCCAGATCTGATGAAGGACCAGCTTCTGGACACACACACACACACTCTAGATCTGATGAAGGACCAGCTTCTGGACACACACACACACACTCCAGATCTGATGAAGGACCAGCGTCTGGACACACACACACACACACACACACACACTCTAGATCTGATGAAGGACCAGCGTCTGGACACACACACACACACACACACTCTAGATCTGATGAAGGACCAGCGTCTGGACACACACACACACACACACACTCTAGATCTGATGAAGGACCAGCGTCTGGACACACACACACACACACTCTAGATCTGATGAAGGACCAGCGTCTGGACACACACACACACACACACACTCCAGATCTGATGAAGGACCAGCGTCTGGACACACACACACACACACTCTAGATCTGATGAAGGACCAGCGTCTGGACACACACACACACACACTCCAGATCTGATGAAGGACCAGCGTCTGGACACACACACACACACACTCTAGATCTGATGAAGGACCAGCGTCTGGACACACACACACACACACACACACACACACACACACTCTAGATCTGATGAAGGACCAGCGTCTGGACACACACACACACACACACACTCCAGATCTGATGAAGGACCAGCGTCTGGACACACACACACACACACTCTAGATCTGATGAAGGACCAGCTTCTGGACACACACACACACACACTCCAGATCTGATGAAGGACCAGCGTCTGGACACACACACACACACACTCTAGATCTGATGAAGGACCAGCTTCTGGACACACACACACACACACACTCTAGATCTGATGAAGGACCAGCGTCTGGACACACACACACACACACTCTAGATCTGATGAAGGACCA